CTCTCGCTGTTCAAATAAACCTACCATTAAAATTATAGACCGATCATTTCATTGTCAGTGGGCAAACGTACAAAATCAGCAGGGGATCAAATATTTTTTGTCCCTCACTGTAGCTCAGTGGGCCTTACCTGATAAGATAAAAAAAAAATTGTTCAGTTTCAGTGTCGTTTACATTGCGAGGTGGACAGAAGCGGTGTGTGGGAGGGTCCGGGTTGGCGGGGATTTTCGAGACTCGCGCCATTGTTTCAGCTGCCGTGCTGGGAGATGGAATCGAACCGACGACCTCCGGATTGAAAGTCCCAGTGCACTTCAACAGCATAACAGACCATGGCAACCGGGTGGCATGTCCTTAAAGGACAAAAAAAACCTGAGCCTGCTTTTGAAACTCTTACGGCACCTGCTTCACGATATCTTCCTGGTGTAGTTCATTCCTTTGTTTTCTAGGGGGGGGGTGGGGGGTTGTTTTTCTTCAAGCAAGGTGTGTTTTTCTGCAGTTTTTTGTTAAAAATCTGAGGCTCCAAAAAAACACACGTGAAACCGCACAAAGCGCCCTCTTTGTTTCCACACACCCCGATGATGATCGCGTGAGTCACTCTCTGCTCGAGACGAGAGGGACCCTACGGCTAATTGCAGGCTCTGCTATATTAAAAACAGGTTTCAGAATTCTTTGCTGTGGCTGCTGGAAAAGCTTTTATTTAATTTTAGGTTCCACCGAGTTTTTGTTGTTGTTGTTTGTTGTTGTTGCTGCTGCTGCTGCACGTCACAAAGACAGAGATCACCCGTATAGCTTTAACAGAATGTAGGAGCAAGTGCTGGTAGTGAGCACCTGTGAAGGCCGGTACAGCACACGAGGGGGTGGGTGGCCAGCACCGTACCCGACCGTCTTTGTCTCCCCAGTTGCGATGTTTGTACACACCACATTAGGTACTCAATTGAGGCTGAATCGACCTAGGGGGTGCCCAGGACCGGTTCAAATAAGCGTCACTGGTGTTGGCCGAGCGGGAATCGAACTCGGGTCGCCGGGTTCATAGTGCAGCGCGCTAACCGCGACACCACCGCTCCCCCACAACCACACACACGCACGCCCTCACCCCTCTACCACGGATACACACACACACATCTGTACCTCCGTGAAGGTGATGGACGGCATGCGATCAGTGGCGCTTCACTCGCGGAAGTAAACTTCTCATTCCCAACAAGTTGGGGTTGAGTCAGCGTGGCCCGGCCGATTCTGCCGCTGTGCGCCCGTGCGTCGTTCTCATTGTCTTCCGCAGACCGTAACCTCTCTCCGCTCGGTGGAAACTTTTGTTTTGAATAAGCGGCGCGCTCGGTTGCCGTGCCGGCACGGTGAACTGACACCACCTCGGTTCGATGCCCAGGTCACGGCTTGTCGCAACTCTGCAGCGATGTGTCAGAATCTAAATCAGAATCGGAGTCTTTATTTATGCTGGAGGTATCCGATGAGCTATAGAGCTCTTATAAGAGGTTTTGGGTTAGATCGCGTAAATATAATGTATTGTTAAACCCGCCACCACCCAACACAGACAATTAGTAAGGTTTGTCACGTAATCAAAACATGACAATTCGTTACTAGTTCAGCACACAGGTGTGTTGGAGAGTAAATACAGAACGCGATCTAACCCAACAACCTCTTACAGATAATATATAGGTCGCGAAAGCCTACGTGTTAAACTATAAAGTGCTTTTTCACAGATGGCCAGTAGGGGCAGGCCAGAACAACAACAGACGACACAAAAACACAATAGCCGTTGATGAGTGTCAACCAGTACTGGACGTCCCATTCACCAACCCTTGCTGCACGACCTGCATGATTTTTTTATATGACCGTTTCTGATCACAGCTTCAAAAGGTCACAAATCCCATAGCGGCCAGTAACAACCAGCACTGTTGAAGGCGTAGTAGTTGAGAGGTTAATGTGTTTTCTTTTTTTTTTATTTGGCAACGTTATTAAGAGCTTGAGAGAAAGAGACCAGAGAATTCCCAAGTCGAGCGGAGTGAATAATAATAATAGCAGAGAAAAGTTGTGACTTGGCAGTGCGGTGGTGGTGGTTGGTTGGTTGGTTGAACGCACTGCGGATGAGCGAATTACAGCCCTGGTACACCGGTCCCTCCCCATGGGTGGATAAATGAACGAGTGAAGTTTCATGGGGACAGCAACCAAGGCCTTAGTAGCAATAAAAGAACGATTAGGAGGCGACTGACCGAAAGATGAATCATCGAGGGCTGGATACATCAATCAACTTGCTCTGCATCATTTGCCGAATTTCCACGGGAGGTCATCGAATGCAGCCAGAGGTATTACAACGGGGGTTGCTTAGGCGCCAGACGCAACTGGCAGCATTCCTATTTTGGCCGGCCGCGTGCTCGCTGTGTACGGTGGGGGGGGGGGGGGGGGAATCCTTGTTGTTCGGAGTCATCCGTCCTCAGTCGCGGTGCCACGTTCAGATTTCTCCGCCACGGCCCCCCCCCCCACCCCCCTTTCTCTCACCAAGAAGCAGCGCTACTTTCTCGGGGGGGGGGGGGTGGGAGGGGGGATGATCCGTGGGGGCGCACGACCCTCCCTGCCCGGCACCGTGCCTTGCCGTAGTCGAATCGATCGCCAGTTGAGACGGGCTTCCACGGCACATCGGCAACTCCGAGCAGGGCCCATAATTAGGGAGCTCTGCCGCCTCCTCCTGTACCTCCTCCTGGCGCTGTCACCGAGCTGCCGTGGGCGAGCGGGCGGGCAGCGGCGCCCGAATTTCCGTCTTAATCGACGGCCGCTAGTTGGTGGACTGTAATGTTAAAAAACACACTCTCGGTTTCGATTGAGTTGCTCGACGTTTTAAAGCGACACGGTGAACAAGAAAGAGAGGCGGCGGGGGGGTGGTGGAAAGCGTTATCAAGTGTAATCTAGAATGGCTGTTAAGCCTGTCTGTTTGGCAAGTCAGCCTCGGGATCATTTAATATGCTGCTGGTAATTGGTACGATGCGAAACCGCTGTCGCTCGTGAACGGGTGACAAATAGCCGCTAACCGCTGACGAGTGCCCGCTAAACTGCTTATTTTTTATAGATTTTTTTTTGCAAGCCCGCAGACTCCGAGCTCGATGAGAGAGCTCGTCTTGTTCTCTCTCTGCTACAAAAAAGAAAACATGTGGATGCTGGAAACGTTTCCAAGCATTTTGAAAGGAGAGGTTAAGTATTAAGGCGTTCGATGATTGGCTGATCCGTCACCGGATTCGATTGTGATTTGCGTAGGATTTTCACGTGAACCGTCCGCTCTGCTCACCTGTGAGTTTGTTCTTCTTGACGATACACGACCGCTGCTGTTGCGAGCGTGGGGTGTGGTTCGGTGGCAGCAGTCGTTCGCGCATTACACTGCGAACACCGCGGCGGCTGGTTGGATTCCCGGTCACGGCCATCGTGGTTAGTAGCAAGTGATTACCTGAATCGGTCCGAGGCCAACCCCCTCTCACCCCCTTCATTCACCTGGCCACGCTTACCAGCTTGGGGAAGTATGGTCAAGCAACCCCTTCACGACCTTCATCCAGTGGTTGGCTGATTGGCAAAGTGGTTGTGATTATTACATTATTAACAATGCCAACGGCACGTGTGGTATTATGACCTTCATAATCCGCGGCCTTGGGCCTTCTGAAGCCAGCGCAAACAATCTGTATTCTAAAGTTCTGAATTCGAATTTCCTCTGTCATCATATCTAGGATTTTATATAGCGCTTTTGTCAAAGCGCTTAACAAGAATTGTGAATGGTACATTAGTTATTGACTGTTGGGGAAAAGGGATGGGGTTTCAGTGTTTGGGGAGGAGAAGGGATGGCAATGGAAGGGTGGTGATAGTTAAGGGAGGCCTGGCAAGGTTGGGATGGGGGTGAAGGTTTTAAGGATGAGGACAGGAAGTAGTGGAGGGATACCCTATTGAAAAAATTAGTTTTAAGGGAGGAGCGAATTCTAAGAGGATACAATACCCCACTTAAATTTTGATTTAAAGCTTTCGTGACTGCAGTAATTCATATTCTTAGCTCTTTCGGTAAAGTCACGTTGAAGGGAAACAATAAAATAATGAAATATATATAAAACAATAAAAATTCTCACGACGTTTCGACCATAACACAAACGGTCGTCATTATTATGGTCAAAACGTCGTGAGAATTTTTATTGTTTTTATATATATTTTGTTATTTTATTGTTTCCCTTCAACGTGACTTTACCGAAAGAGCTAAGAATATGAATACCCCACTTCCCTAACAATTCAGAATTCCATGCACACGAACTCGCCATCACCGTTATTCACCACACGCCACTGTCGTCCCCTTGCCTCGCGAACTACAGACTCTGTCCACCTCACTTGGACTCTCAATGATAAACCCACCGCCCCCCTCCCCCCTGCTAAATCACCCTCCCCTTTGTATTTATCAGCTTCATGAATTCAATGGACACGGTAGGCAGCTAAAAAGTTTGGAAGCGCAGTTTGATATTTTGATGCGCTCATGTTTATTGATTTTGCTGTGTACGATGTTTGATGACTGAGCAGAGGTTCCTCCGTCTCGTAACATGTTGCCTGCGGCGCTTTTGGGATTTTTGGGTTGGGCCACGTTACAATCTGACCGAAAATCTGCGTCGTTCAGTTCCCCCCCCCGCCACCACCCGACACAGCCAAAGAAATAAATTTTCAATGATTGCGAGTGTCACTATTGGAAGGGTGCACTCGGCTCCACGCCGAGAAAGAATCCTCGCAGCCAAGTGAATTGGGTTGGAATGCGACGTCTTGTTTGCAACTACGTCACACAACAACAACATCGTCACACAACAACAACAACAACAAGAACATCGTGATCATCACCCGGGCACTCCGAATATCAATCCACGGACGCGGTCACGATGGAACGTAATTTCAAGCCAAACTCCTTATCCCGATGCACGTCCCTCTCTCCCCTCTCTCCCTCCCTCCCTCCTCCCTCCTCTCTCTCTCTCCCATTCTCCAGTTTGCGACACCAAGTGCGGCCGGCGGGCCTGCAGCTCCGCGGGCGACTGCTGCCATGACGAGTGCCTGGGTGGCTGCTCCGCACCCGACGACCCCCTGGCCTGCGTCGCCTGCCGCCACTACGTCCACGTGGACGGCGCCGCCGCCCGCTGCGTACCCGACTGCCCCGCGGGCACCTACCGCTTCAAGGGCTGGCGCTGCGTGACGGCCGCCTTCTGCCGCGTGCTGCACGAAGCCTGCGTCAGGGAGGTGGAGGAGAGCGAGGAGCAGCCGATGATGACGATGGGCGGCGGAGGCGGGGCGGTGGGAGCCGGGACGATGTCGGCCGGGCTCGGCCTGGGCGGCGGAGGAGGCGGAGGATTGTCGGACAGGGAGTGCATCAATTGGGTCCTGCACGACGGGGAGTGCCGCCCCGAGTGCCCGTCCGGGTACACGATGGAGAACGAGACGAGGTGAGCGGTTGCGGCAGAAGTTCGAGCCGCGCACGCAATCGGTCCGCCCGCTCGGTGTTCACGCGCCGAACGTGTGTTACGTTACGTTCACGCGATGCATCCGTTGGCTAAACTGGTCCTGTCTCCCTCCCTTGCGCTCGCTACTCACCCTCCCCCCTCTCCACCAACCCACACACTAAGTGTGAATGGGTTGCCCACACGGGTTTGTGATGTGGAGGTGTGGCTATCGTGACCGCGCGGCACTGAGTTTGGAACAGCTGCAAGTCCCCGCCGTATGTTATCGTCGCGGCGTTTGCGCGGCCGCGGTTTAGCAAAGCGCGCGTTGTGCTCGTTTTGTATATGCGCACGTTGAGCTCCTTTCGCACCGTGCGTAGCCAACCGTGATGATCGGAGGTGCGGGGGGAAGGACGACAAACTAAAAAAAAGTGCGTCGGTTTCTGCGTTTTAAAATGACGCTCGACGCGCCGCCGTTTTCACGCTCGTGCGGGAAAGAAAAAGAAAAAATATCCAAGTGTTTGGTGTCTGACGAGCACCACAGACCGGTTCATCACTCGCCTGTAAACCAGCACCGTGGAGGCGGCAGCAGCGAGGGTTGGTGAACCGCCGCACAGACGCGCGGACTCCCTTCGCGTGGGCGTCGAGGCAGAGCCGTACCCCTGGCGCTCACCAGGAGACGGCGGTAGAGCAAAGTGTGGACTAATCGCCATTCTCGTTCCATCTGAATGGGGATAGAGCGTTGCCCCGTCTTGCGCGTGCGGGTTTTCCTTCCACGTGTATAATAAACACAACGCGCCGTTAATTGGCTGAAAACATCTCCGAATAAAAAAAAAAACTCAATGTGGCAGGACCCTCCTGAAAAAAGCATGCTATGCCTCAGTTTGGCCTTGAGTGTTTACGGAATTTCCCGCGAATAGCGGCTCGCTCAGTGACTGCTGCTTCCTTGTTGGGTGTTTTTTTTTCCTCCCCACAAGCACGGGCTGTGTCATGGCGCTAACAGAAGGGGGGGGGGGGACAACCCTTGAGGTGTCGCGAAGGTTAAACGGGAAAGCAAAACAAAAAAAAGCCCGTTGAAGATTGATTGTTTAAAAATACAGCGGAATTATAAAAAAAAACGCCGCTGTCTGTGCGCGAAATTACGCGGGTCTGTACGTATGTCGGACTTCTTTCACACCGTACATAGCCAACCGTGCGAATCGGAGGTGCCGGGCCGTTGCAGTGCACAGGCCCGCGCCCAAACGCTGTCCCCGGCGAGCATTGTGATTTTTTGCGCGGGCGCGTGAAGCCAGAGGCGGTATTAATAATCTCCCACCCCCCCCCCCCCCCCCCCCCCCCCCCCAGTGTCGCGTTTTAAATCAGCGACGTGTCAGGCAGGCGCGTGTCAGTCATCTGAGTTATGTAAGTCTGTGTCGGTGGCGGTCACGATTCCCCCGTTGCCAGCGGTTGTTTACCCGCCCATTGCGCAAGGCGGGGGTGGAGACTGCTGGGAGGTATTGTTTTTAACCGCTCTGCAGGTCTACCTTGCAGTGTTTTAACACGAACCAGGCGTTACAGCATTGAGTTTTTTTTTTTTACAGCTCTGCAAAAACTTACAAAGCTGAAGGTCCCGCTTGCCTGCCTTGTGGCATCTCACTGATTAAAAGTTAGAAGCGCACCTGGCAATGTTGATTTGAGATCCTGGGTTCGATTCCAGGCAGCTGCCTATAATGACCATGGGTCCTCAAGTGGTAGTGAGCGAATGGTTCTCAGCACTTTCATCAATGACTCGACGCAGAAAACAAATAATGAATTTCAACGAATTAGTTTGATTGTCATGTGACGAACATTATCCAGGTCAGTGGGGGTACAGTGTTGCCCCTTTGTGCGGGGTTAAGAAGGGATCTCAGAAGTACTTCTCTGATATCTTCTTCCACGGACCGTTCTCTAACACACGGGAGGGTGGCGCTCTTGACAGGTCGCCCACAGCGATCGGGATAACATTCCGGAGAAAGTTGGGTGGCACAGGAGAGTCGTGTGAGAAGCGCTGGAGATGCCTACCACCATGATGGGTGTTGCGTTGGGGATGAGTAAAATAAAAAAAGCATTACAATTAAATGGCACATTTATGTGAACCTTCTGGTGTTTCGAGCTAAACACTGTGCATGTAACGATGCCTCAATATATCAATTAAAATCAGTTGTTATGCTCAAGATGCATGCATTTTCAATCTTACTTTTTATCATATACGTTTTATATAATGTTGTCATGTGACCCCTGCAGCCAAAAGTGGCCGGGACAATCAAAGCGACGCTTGATTCTTGTATCGATATCGGTTGATGCACCGTTACACCCCTAACAAATAGACCAATGGTCGCACAAATTAACTTGTTCATTCGCATCATAGACGCCTGTGGTGCTGCTGCGGACGATGATGGGCAATGGTGGTTGTGCTCGTGTGTGTGTGTCCGTCTGACGGCATTTGGGGAGCGGTGTCGCCGTGGTTAGTGCGCTTGCTACGAACCCGGCGGCTCGAGTTCGATTCCCGCTCACGGCCATCACCAGTGACGATTATCTGAACCGGTTATTGGCCTCCCCTAGGTCGACTCAGCTTCAAATGAGTACGTTGGTGCGGTGTGTAAACATCGCCACTGGGGAGACAAAGGCGGCCGGGCGTGGTGCAGGCCACCCCACCCCCTCGTGTGGTGTGCCAGCCTTCATAGGTGCTCGCAAACAGCACTTGCTCCTACAATCCGTAAAGGCTATAAAACGGGATCTCTGTCTTTTGTCCGACGGCAGCATGTCGTGCAAGAAGTGCGACGGGCTCTGCCCCAAGGTGTGCTACGTGGGCACCAAGGTCATCGACTCGGTGACGGCCGCGCAGGAGCTGCACGGCTGCACCATCATCGAAGGGAACCTCGTCATCAACATCCGCGGCGGAAGTGAGTGTGGGCCGTCCCAGAGGGGGGGGGGGCCCTCTGCGACATCGGCGCCGCCCCCCCCCCACCCTCCACCTCCATCCTGTCTGGCCAGCCACGGAGGCCTCGCTCATAGAGCGGCAGTCGCGTCACGCGTAACGGTGGCGGCCGCCCTCCGAGCGATCGCTCGTTCACCACCTGTTGCGGACGTTTGCGGTTTAAGCCCAGCCTCCCGCCCCCCCCCCCCCTCTGTGGCTGTACTAACCCCGCCGTCGGAAAGTGGAGTTTCCATCACTCTTGTCTCGGGGTTGTGGGCAAGAGATGAGCACCGCTTACCTTCGCGAGTAACGGCTTGGACTTTTGTTCGATTTAAGCTACGTTCACCGTTAGCCCTAACGCCGCCATCTTCCACTGCGTCGCCACCGTCGCCAGCCGGACGAGTCGAGGATAAGGGGGAACCTCTTGCAGAACGTCGTGTTGTTCTGCGGGACCCACGCGCGTGCGCTTCCTCGGAATGCCACGGTTGGAGCGGCGCTGACCGGGCGACCGATTTAACTCCACGGCCGCGCTGGCACCGGGGTCGCGACGGGCGCGGCCTGCCGCAGCTGCAGCAGCATTCCGCGTTGTCAGATGAAACATCCCACCCGCTGTGGGCTAAAGGAGGTCAAAGGGGGACACGGGCCCAGCCGCGTACCCCCAAACCGCTAAAACCACTGGACGGGGGGTGGAGGGATGGGGTAGAAGCCCCCCGTGCCCCCCACGTGGCCGCATCCTTCCTGTTTTGACACGATCCAGGGCGGGTGCGGGGGATGCGGTGTTTTTTTTGTGGTGCATTGGGACGCGATTTTTCAACGCTCAACGTTCACTTTTTGGAGATCCTCGCAGTTCAACGAACTAGGCCCAGTCGTAGTCTGCTCCTCCGCTCAGTCATTCTCATCCATCCAGCTCCTTCGTCGTTGGAAGACAATTTAGTGGGCTATTTTCTAATTGTTTACACAGAAATGACATACCTTGGTAATGGACTCTATTAATAATTGATTATTCATCCACCAGGCATGTCATGATTCATTCTTATGATTCGAGGTCGTAATTTTCTCAATTTCCGTTGTATGTAATTTTTCACTCTCCCTGTACTTTTTATTTTCAGTCTCGTTCGTACCATTTTATCCATTCCGTCAATCTGAACGCAGTTCCTCTTTGGAATTTCATTTACATTATCGTAAAGTAAAAATAATAACCGATTCGATTACCATCTCGCGAGCACCAGAATCGATTGATCGATGCATCCATTCGTTGCGCGCCTTGGACCAAAAACAGTGGGACATGGGCCCCCTGGGGAATACGGAGTTATAAATCTATTTCAAGAACCGAATGACATGTTTGCTAGCCACGCGTGAAATGGAGCGGCGTACAGTGATTAAATAACTCGATTCAGGCGGCGCATTGTGCACGGTGAGACTATCACCTGTCGGTGAGTTCATACGGCTCGGAAGAGTGGCCCTTTTTTGCGCCCAGCCGCCGCTGCCCCCGCCCCGTGGGTCTGGAGAGTGCCGTTGACTCTTCCCCTGTTCAAGTCCAGGCCTGTGACCGACCGTTATCTTTCTATATATATAAAAATAAACTAATTGATAAATATATAAGCCTCCCTTCTTTCTACCAGAAGAGGTTTCCTGATCACGTGACTTTCCAGAATGCTCACTGCTACGGCTGCGAGCTGACTAAGCAGAACACCTATGATTTTTACGGTTTAGCTGAATATAAACGTTTGGTGCGAATGTCATTTGTGCCTATCTTATTTTGGCGCGTAGTAGCAGTAGTAGTGTACCGCACTGTGGTTTTTGTTCCCTCCGCTCGCAGACAACATCGCGACCGAGCTCGAGGCGAACCTGGGACTCATCGAGGAGGTGACCGGCTCGGTGAAGATCAAGCGGTCCTACGCGCTCGTTTCACTTTCCTTCTTCCGTAACCTCCACACCATCCACGGGGACTCCCAGGATCCCGGGTAGGAAGTGATTCTCGTCATAAACAGAAGGGGAAGGGACACGGGGGACGACGGTTAACATGCAAACTTAGTTGTGAATAACAATGAACGCAGTTAATTAGCAGACCGGGCCACACGTTTTTTTTCATTATTGCCAGTGTCGTTTGTATGCCATAGAAGAACTGATGATGTACACGTACATCATTCCGTTCCCATGACGTATGTGTAAAATAACTTTATCGGTACCGAGGCTCTCACAATGGCATGCGGGAGGGCATGTGGCACAGTTTGGCGCCAGCTATCGTAGAGTGTGGTCGTGTCGCTACAGTTCTCTGCGGTGAGCACAATGTCTTAAAAAAAAACGGCGCTACGCCTTGCGTGTTCTGAGATTCAGCTGTGAACGGGACCCATCCTGCAGTTTGCAGATGTCTCGGAACGGGGAAAAGGTTTAACGTGCAACTTGCTAATGAAATCCTCAATTCATTTCTTCAGGAACCACTCCTTTTATGTGCTCGACAACCAAAACCTCCAACAGCTGTGGGACTGGGACAAACACAACCTGACCATCCGCAAGGGCAAGATGTTCTTCCACTTCAACCCCAAGCTCTGCCTGTCCGAGATCTACACCATGGAGGAGAAGACCCATACGAAGGGGCGGCAGGAGGATTCGGACATCTCGCTCAAAACCAACGGGGACCAGGCCTCGTGTACGCGCACTGACCTTACAAGCCCGGCGACCGCAGTTAGATTCCTGGCCCGGGGACTAACCTCACTGATCCGTTTTTGGGAACACACCACCTCCTCTTCCGCAAGCTCGCTCGCTCACTCGCTCACCCCTTACCTTCCTCGATCAAATTGCGCGAGCGACAGCTCGTGGTGAAGCATGTTCGAACGGCCACCGTGACGGCAGAAACGGCGTGGTGGTGGGGAGGCCTTCATCAGGCCCTGTGTCCATATAGCTTGAAGCCCTCGCCACACTTGTCGGTCATGGGGGTTGTGTGGCCATAACTTTGCCAATCTGGTCAGCGTGCGGTGGGCGACATGGGGGTCCAGAACCAGTTCAGATATCGCTTACCACTTGATGCATGTATGTTGAACTTCTTTCGCACCGTACTTAGCCAACCGTGCTAATCGAAGGTGCGGGGGGAGGACAACAAACTAAACACAAAAAGCAGCTCTAAAGAAATTAGTTTTCAATCCGGATGATTTAAAAGTGCATAGCTCCCGTGGCTTCCTGACATCGGAAGGGAAAGAGTGTTCCGTGATGGCCGCAGAAGCGCGTCTGAAAGCGCACGATGCGGTGTGACCGTCGCCGTTCGATCGCCGGTCAAATGCCGTGGCCATAATATCGCACTCGGCATGACGCGCTAGCCACTGCGCCGCCGTTTCTGCCCCGCCGTGCCTGCGCTGCATTTTAAAACCTCAATTCGTCCGACGCGTGGATTCGTCACGGAGGTTGACCGCCGGCCCTTTCCTCGTCCCCCCCCCCCCCCCCTTGTAAACGCTCGCAGGCGAGAGCACGGTCCTGACGTTCACGCAAATCCAGATGACCTTTGACAAGATCCTGTTGCGCTGGCAGTCGTACCGCCTGCCGGACTACCGTGACCTGCTGGGCTTTGTCGTCTTCTACAAGGAGGCGTAAGTAATCCACGCTGGCTCGCCACGTGCCCAGGTTCTCGTCCTCCTCGCTGCCCTCGGGCCGTGCCGAATCACCGCAGTGGCATGATGTTAACAACTATAAACAACAATTTTTATTTTACCAGGCAAGGCCCACTGAGCTATGTAGCTCTTTTTCAGAAGCGGCCTGGCCACAAACGATAGCTCAACCAAGTGGTTTACCATGTGGACATTAATAGCAGCCAAATACTCTGAACTTATCTGCCTCACATGGTACACAGGAGGTCGTGGGTTCGGTGCCGACCCTGACGCCTGTATATTTGGCTTCTATAAACGTCCACTTGATGAGCCACTTCGTTGAGCTAACTTTTGCGGCCAGGTCGCTTCTTAATAAGAGCTCTATAGCTCAGTGGGCCATACCTGGCAAAATAAAAATAGTTTAACTTCTGAGCCACTTCGCAGCAGCAATTGGCGATTGATAGCTGTGCCCTGGCGACGATTTCCAGCAGGGATGAAACCCTAGCATCTGATTTGGTCATGGCCAGCTGGATGGGTAGTGAATTATAAAATATGCAAGTGGAGTGTAACACAAACGTAAACATTGGGCAGGTCACCAGCATTGTTTTAAGAAAGCCTGGCTGACGGTGAAAACACTGAATGTTGAAACCGGCCCGGAATTTTCTTGCCTAGAACCTGTGCTGCTGAAATGATGGACTTACCAGAAGGCTGTGTGTGGCTTAGCAAATATTTTGAACAACGATTTTATTTTTTATTTACGTGGAATTACATAAATGTGACGGAGAAGGCATGTATCGTCCGCTTCTTAAATTTGAACGTAAAACTAAAACTCTGGGGTGAAGCATATGCATGTACGCCATTGAACCTCTTTCGCACCGTACGTAGGCCGACCGTGCTAATCGGACGTGCGGGAAGGACAACAAACTCGGAAGGCAAAAAGCGGCTCCATGAAGCCGATTGAGTTTTCAACGTGGAAGCTTAACCACGACTCTGCTCCCCCCCTTCTTCCGCACACCCCAGGCCCTACCAGAACGTGACGGAGTTCGACGGGCAGGACGCCTGCGGCTCCAACAGCTGGACGTCGGTCGACGTGGACCCTCCGCCTCTCAAGGGCAATGGCGGCGGCAACTCGTGGGGCAGCTCGTCGCCGGGCATCCTGCTGCGCGGGCTGCAGCCCTGGACGCAGTACGCCATCTTCGTCAAGGCCTTCGTCCTCACCTCGTCGGACGAGGGCCGGGGAAACAACGGCGCCAAGAGCAAGATCATCTACCTGCGTACCAACGCCAGCAGTGAGTGGATGCACGCGCGCGCACGCAGGCACGGACGCATGTTGGAAATGAAAAACCGTTTTTTTTATTATCATCTGCTGGATGAAGGCCTCCCCAAGTTGTCACCATTCTCTCGGGATCGCACTTCGTGCTCGTCATCAGCACGCGGCATTCGATGATTCTCACCTTTTTTGGAAATGTGATGAATTGTCACGGACTCACTGTCAGCGTCCAAGAATCGTGCTGTGATGTTTGCCACGGTGTTACTCGATCGTATAATTTACATGTAGTTTGCATAAAATGCACATAATCTCTTCCCGGGCAGCACGATTCTACGCGCGTATCTTGAGCGTGTTTTTTTTTATTCAGTGGATCCACGCATCGTTCGGTGCTAAATCCGTGCCGCCCTTACCAGACTGAACTTGTGATTGTCCGGTCCGCCGTTGGACTTGCTGCGCTTCCCTCTACCCACGCGGATTTTTCGCGGCTGCGTTGCACGGCTCTCCTCCGCCGTCTGTCGGTGGCAAGATGTTAACTGCCTCGCCTGGTATGAAGGAGGTCGTGGGTTCGATCCCGACCCTGACGCCTGCTCTATATTTGGATTTTTCACGTCTCTCTCTCTCCCCGTGGTCGCGTGGATTTTTCTCCGCACCTAGAATCAACGTGCGTTCAGAGTGTTTGGCTGCTGTACATTTCCACGTGATGAGCCACTTTGCTGAGCTTATCATATGAATAAGAGCTACGTAGCTCAGTGGACCTTACCTGGTAAAACACGCGAAAATAGTTTTAGTTTTAACATGCGCGCCGTTAACTTGACGTCATCATCTCCCCCCCCACGTCCGCCCTCCGACGCAGCGCCCTCGACGCCGCAGGATGTCTTCTCGGTGTCAAACTCCTCGTCGCAGCTGCTGGTGAAGTGGCGCCCGCCGGCGTTCCCCAACGGCAACGTGACCTCCTACGTGGTGCGCTGGCAGCAGCAGGCCGAGAACACAGAGCTCTACGAGTTCGACTACTGCCTGCCCGGTACGTGCGGCGGCGTCGGAGCCTTCCCGCCACCGGAGGGGTGGGTGGTGGGGGGGGAGGGTTTGTTGATAATCAATCTCTCCGGGGTCACTCTTGTGAATGAGTCTCGTACTCGTCTGTATGTCAAAAAAAAAAATAACTTGCCTGGTATACAAGAGGTCGTGGGCTCCATTCCGACCCCGATGTCTGTATATTTGGAGTTTACATGTTTTCTCTGTGGTCGAGTGGATTTTTCTCCGGGTCCTCCGGCTTTTCCCTCCACATTTAGAATCAACATGCGTTCATTATTTGGCATCACGTTTTTCGAGTGTTTGACTGCTCTAAATTTCCACGCGATAAGCCACTTTGTTGTTGGGCTATCATTTATTGCCAGGTCGCTTCTGAAAAAGAGCTATAGAGCTCAGTTGGACTTACCTGGTAGAATACAAAAGTATGTTTATCGTTCATAGTTCATCCACGAGTATCGACAAACATTCTAGCGAAACAAAGCCTCTGGTGTGCGGCTCACACGGGGCAAGGGGAGGGGGGGGGGGGGGCTGGGGGTGGGAGGGCCGCGCGGGGGATCTTCGTCATCTTTGACCTTTGCGCGCGTCCCAGGCCTGAAGGTGCCGACTCGGGACCACGCGTCGGGGACGATCGACGAGGGCGTGCGGCCCAACGGCACGGACGGCGCCGACGGCCGCGGCGGCGGCGGCGGCGGCGGCGGCGGCGACGAGTCGACGTGCGCGCGGCCCAAGCAGGAGGCGGAGCTGGATCGGGAGAAGGAGCACGCGGCCTTCCAGAAGGCCTTCGAGAACTTCCTGCACAATTGGATCTTCGTGCCCAGGTTGGTTTTCTTCCGCCACCCCACCCCCCCCCCTCCTCACCGGCCGCCCCCCCCCCCCCCCAACCCCTCCGCCCAACGCCGACGGTAGCGGAGGCCCGAGGGTTTTCTGAGAATCGCGCGGGAGCGAGATGTGGCGCGCGGGCGCGTGTGGTCACGTGACCCGACTCCCGCCGCCACCCATCTCTCCGCCCCGCCAACCGCTCCTCGGCCGAGTGTCGTCGAGGAAAAACCCCAACAGCGGGTCTGGCGCCTTTCCCACCTGCCTGTCCGTCCCAACACACACCCCCCCCCAACCCCGGCCTAGCGTTCTCCGCTCCTTGTGTGCCCTCCTGTGGCTTGAGCGCAGAAGTGCTGTAGTTTTTTTTTCCTTTCCGCAATCCGTTTTGACTTCCTCCGCGTGTTTTGTTTTCGGGTCGTGCCGCGTGCTGTTCGGCACGACGTCCCACTCTTCGCTCCACGCGCCGTGTTCCTGAAGAAGCATGTGGGGGCGAAACATCGGACGTCGCGCCGAACAACGTGCGATACGACCCCGAAAGCACAGTGGGGCGGGGGGGGGGGAGACTTGCATAGCAGCGCAACCGCTATGTACGTAGCAACTTGGTTTTTGCTGAATGTTGCCAAAAGATATGTCCTTGTTTCTTCATGTAGCAAGATTGATGTCAGTTGTCTGTGATAATTAGTTGCCTGGTTAGCGAGTGACGTTATAGGGATTTATTTCCAGGTATGGCCACCGCAGAAAAAACACATTTCAATAATGTAAGCGCCTTTCATCACGCCCGGGAAATATTCAATCAAGTTATATTTTGTTTTGCTTTGTGCACGCCCACGTAATTTTTTTATTCAACTTCAGTGTAAAAATTCTCCTAATCGGTCTCCGTACACAGGTAACAGCTCTAAATGTGTGAGCGAAGATGTTGGCGCGACTGCACAGGCAGTTTTGGAACCTTGCCACGGACTTGCTTAGTGATGCTGAGCCATATGCGTTAGGCTTCTTGGGTGGTTAGACGAAAGGCGGTAAGATAGCCTCTTGCATCGATACCAATTGCACGTCCGAACTGAACCAGTGCAAGGTGCAATCGCTGTAGCCAGAACCGCGATGATACGCTGACCTCGCGAGATGTCTGTATCGTGACCGTGCGAAAAAAGCCTGTGGGGTTGACATCATTCGGTCAACTCAAACACGGCGTCGCCGCATTGTCCACACGCGTCCCAACTCGATCGTCGCATGTTGACGTCGGCGGTACTGCCCCTAGCCTGACTTGGATGCGTCAGTGAAAAAATAAGTATTCGACACAATGTTGGAGCCGGTCGGTGCCACCCGGAGCGAACACTTTTAAATCTAGATTGAAAACTAATTTTGAAAGAGGGGGAACAGAGTCGTGGTTAAGCTTCTACGTTGAAAACTCAATGGCTTTATAGAGCCGCTTTTTGTTCATTTAGTTTGTTGTCCTTCCCCGCGCAACCTACGATGAGCACGGTTGGCTATGTACGGTGCGAAAGAAGTTCAACATGCATGGGTAGGTGGCAGCGTGTGGCCATGCTGCCACCCACTGGTCACTAAGTGAATGTCAACAATTAGCAGTTCCCGTTCGGGTCACGGAGCGTGATGCAGAGAAGAGTTCTTGGGGCGGGCACTGTGTGCCCTGTATGTCTGCCACTACTACTTAAACTATTTATGGAAATAAACTTTGTTTTATTTCACCCTGTAAGGCGCACTGAGCTATGTAGCTCGTTTCCGGAAGCAACCTGGCCACAATTGATAGCTCGACGCCATGTGGAAATTTATAGTGGCAGGGTAAAAACATTTTTTTACAGTGGCTGGGTAAAACCAGGAGGACCTGGAGAAAAATCCACGTGACCACGGGGAGAGAGAGACATGCAAACTCCAAATATACAGCAGGCGTCAGGGTCAGGATCGAACCCACGACCCCCTGTATATCAGGCGAGGTAGTTAACATCTCCCCCTCCTGACTTTCCCCATCCACTACCCATGAGTCTCACTGGTTTCTCAGCTTCTCTGAGCAAGCTGCAAGACCCTACATTCTCTCGCGAATGTCTCATCTTATCTTATATAGATTTACATGGCTCCTTATTCCAAGGAAAATTACAGCAATTTTATAATTGTACATGATGATTGTGTTTGAGATAAGGAGTGGGGTTATTAAAAAGCATTGTCAGGACAGGGTCCAGGAAGTCAGAATGGTGAGCTGAAGAATAATAATAGGCGCATCATTAAAAGCTTTTTCACGCGACATTCAAATTTGTTTGGCTGCGTTGGGTGGTAGAGAGTTCTGAGAACGCAAAACCTGGTCAGCTCATGAAGTGGCCTAACCCACAAATCACTTATAAATCATAATATTGTTTCCAAAAACCTACCTGGTGAGTTTCACACCATAGGCTTTCGCTACCAAATATCCATAATCGAGTTTTTTTGGTTAGATTGCGTAACCTACCTTATGTACGTATGTTGAACTTCTTTCGCACCGTATGTAGGAGGTGCTGGTGCTAATTCGGTGCTAATCGACCGCGCGATCATGATGACGTAAAGTTAACGGTGTCCGTTACAAACCCCCCCCCCCCGCCTTCTGTCTCCGCCGCTCCCAGGCCGTCGCGGCGCCGCAGGGACGTGTCCAGCGGCGGCGAGGGCACGGTCGCCGGCGACGCCAAAGTCACGATCGCCCCGTCCAACAGCACGGCGGGCACGGCCCGCCCGCCGCTCGCCCCCACCGAGAGCCACGAGCCGAAGAGTTTCCCCGTCGGGCAGAAGAGCGTGCACGTGCACGACCGCACCGTCATCTCGGGCCTGCAGCACTTCACGCTGTACCTCGTCAACGTGCAGACCTGCAACCACGAGGCGGAGCGCGTTGGCTGCAGCACGCCAAGCTACGTCTTCGCCAGGACCATGCCCGAAGGTGGGTGCCGCCCACCCCCCCCCGCCGCCAGCGGTTGTGCCCCGGAACGAAATTGTTGACCGAAATACTTTTGTCGCCAATAAAAAAAAATCTACATTTTTCTTTCCGTGTCGCTATCCGCAGGGAGGAAGTTGCTTTCAACCGCAGCGGCTTGTTTTGATTTAATTCCACCCGACGATGACTACGACCGCCGACCGAAAAGCGTGTTCAGTAGCAGCCTTCGAACTTTCCGATTTGACGCCAAAGTCAGAAAGACGGCGTTAAAAAGTTGAAAGACGGCACGGGGAATGAGCGGTAAACGGCTCTTAGGAGGATCGGAAATGCTTGCAGACAGCCCTGAAGCCATTTCTTCGGAATCCTATGAATTTCAGGAATCCCACTTTTGCCGTTAACTGTGAACCCGACTTAAATGCTTCAGATGGGCAGTTGTTACTCGTGTAACATAACTAGAGAGCAGATTTATAGCAGTCGTCACGGACTATTTTTTCTGCTCCTTTTTTTCTTGTTTTAAAAAAACAATAAGTTGCCCAAATCTGGACAAACCCGATTGCTGCCCTGCCTGGTGCCATAGCTGTTATTGCAACTTCCAATCAGATCTCCAAAACAAGCGTCCGCGTGACTACCCGAAATTGCTCTCTCTGTGGGACCAGCCGTTGTTTATGAAACGCACATTTGAACGCACTCTCACACTGGTTAGACCAGAGGACTCCATCGCTCGATGGGATTGTACCGAGTTGTGGGGTTGTCGGTAGCGACGGTACCTTGATTCCCCGATTCAAAGCTAACAGAACTTCGGTTTCGCGATGGCCGATCCCGCGCCACCAGAGTTGCCGCCGTTGCTCATGACATTAAAATGCCGTGGCTTGGCCGGTGGCCGTTTCGTTTCTCGTCGTCGCGTTACAGCCGGCGCGGACGACATCGTGGGTCCCGTCACGTACAAGATCGCCGAGGACGGCGGGGTGCAGCTGATGTGGGCCGAACCCGAGAGGCCCAACGGACTCATCCTGCTCTACGAAGTTCTCTACCGCCGTGACCAGGAGGCAAGTCGCAACTCAACGACGCCGTCCCTCTCCGTCAGAAACGTCCGGCGAACTCTCCCTCGTCCCCCCCCCCCCCCACCCTCCGGTTCCCCTCCTCCCCTCCCCCTATCCCTTTTTCTTCCCCAAGTATGTTAGTTATATTCTTGGTTCTTTCGGTAAAATCACGTAGAAGGGAAACAATAAAATATTTAAAAAAAAAGCAAGCTAACTGCCACTTTTTTCTAATTTTCTTGTTGTGGTTTTCACACCTGATGATGATTGCTTGTGTTGCAGTCGAAACGTCGTGAGAATATTGTTTTATATTTTTATTATTTTATTGTTTCCCTTCTACGTGACTTTACCGAAAGAACCAAGAATATGAATCCCTGCAGTCACGAAAGCTTTAAATCAATATGTTAGTTATCTTCCGTGGCTCCGTGGCTACGTGGGCTGACGTCCCACTCGCACATAACACTGACGAGCATGTGTATTCGTTTCTTGCATATCTGGCGCTCTGATTGTACGACAGTCACGGCTAAAAGCATTGGATTAATAAAGAAAGTTATCTTACCCCTTGCCGCTTTACCCCTTTCCCCTCCCCATATAAACATTCATGTCCCCCCCTGCACGTGGTCCCCACCTGGGTTGGGGAAGTGAGCCCATATTAAACTTAAATCTCAAACTATTTTGTATTTCACCAGGTTAGGGCTCACTGAGCTGTATAGCTCTTTTTCAGAAGCGACCTGGCCACAGATGATAGCTCGACCGAGTGGCTTATCATCATCACGTGGAAATTGATAGCAGCAGCCAAATACTCTAAATGCACGCTGATTTTAAATATGGAGGGAAAAACCGGAGGGCCCGGTGAAAAGTGCACATGGTCACGGGAAGAGATATATGCAAACTATAAATATACAACATTTCTCGAAGAAGATGGTACTTTGCAAACCCACTGGCTATCAACAAAGATTAGTTCATGAAGCCATCCATATATAGACACAATTTTAACCGAGAATATGGGTACAAACGGAGCAATCATTGGAAGGACGTTATCATCCAGTTTAAGTCATAACTGGCTGCGATGTTCCCATCCTACCACCTTCCGATGCTAGTTGTTCATTAACAGGTTCACACTAACACAGCCACTTCACGCGCCAACCTTGAGATTGCTGCTCTGCGATCTCCCATTAACATGCGAATCTCTCACATTAACATAGCCACCTCAGCGCACTCGCCGTGGAGGCCGCTCACCGATCTTACATTGACATGCTAATTTTTATTTGGCAGCCCTTTAATTGGTGGAAAACCCACCACCGTCGCGGTCGCCACCCACCACTCACATTAACATTAGCTGCCCCGCCCATGCTGCTGACATTTGGGCTACGCCCATTTAAAACCTTTATAAACAGTTTGCCTTTAGAAGCTAACCCCCTTTTCCTAATGACGATCGCTTGTGTTGCGATCGAAACGTCGTAGTTTTTTGTTATTTTCTTTGAAACTATCTACGTGACTTTACCGAAAGACCCAAAGAATGTACAACAGGCGTCAGGGTCGGGATCGAACCCACGGCCTCCTGCATACCAGGCGAGGTAGTTAACTTCGCTCAGCCCTGTTGCGCCGAAATTGGGTTTGCTGTTCGCGGACTTTCTGCTCCTCCCCCCACCGCCCCCATTTTGCGATTGGCGTATTGTACCGAGCTGGCGTTGAGTTGCAATAAAACAAAAGACGTCCGGCGAAGCTGCCCAACTCGTGGGCCCGGTGCGGCCCAACGGTTAAGGGGCGCTCGAGCTGACGACGCTTTCGCCGTGTCAACTTGGCATCGTGAACTACAGAGAGACGTGTGTAAGGGTGGAGATTCAGCCCTGGAGTTATTTGCGCGCCACTGCCGGTGGAAGGGGCAGCTCTCGCGAGCCCCTCTAAGAGAGCATTTTTGGCTGAATCTTCCATGCCGGCCAGACACACCTTTTGAAGATGTGGGAGGAAGACACACTTCATGCCGGCCAGACACACCTTTTGAAGATGTGGGAGGAAGACACACTTCACGCGACCACACGGGCACTCGGTGGACTGGCGTGGGGAGGTTTGAGATAATTCGTTTAAACTCCAGTGCGGGGGAGGTGGAATCGAACCGGCGACCTCTGGATTGCAAGTCCAGTGCGGTGACCGTCTGCGGCAGCATCATTTACTAAAAACACGCACAAGGTAGCACTTGATGCTTTGAGATGATTCACAGCATTGCAAGGATGCAAGTCTGCAATCCCAGTCGCTGCCAACACTTTTTTTAACGTAAGAAAAATGTATTTTATCCTCGCAGCCGGAAAACCCCAAGTGCGTCTCCCGGTCCCAGTACCAAAAGGTGGGCGGCTGCAAGATGTTCCTGCCCATCCCCGGGAAGTACACGGCCAAAGTCCGTGCAACGTCGCTGGCCGGCAACGGCTCGTGGACCGAGCCCATCACCTTCACCATCTCCGACCACAGTGAGTGGTGGGGTCGTCGCTGCACGATTTGCAGATCACAGTGGATTCGGTTAAGTGTCTCGATAGAACCGCCTTCTTCTCCAGCCGTACCAGCAAAAAAACTGGGGCGCGCGCATGACCATTTGGTTGTTGGTCTTTTTTTTTCCCGAAACACAACGAGAGAATCGTTTTCTTTGGTTCTTTCGGTAAAGTCACGTAGAATGAGAATAAAATAATAAATTAATAAAATAAAATAACACAATAAAATTCTCACGACGTTTCGGCCACTTGTGTTGTGGCCGAAACGTCGTGAGAATTTTATTGTGTTATTTTATTAATTTATTATTTTTTTTTCATTCTACGTGACTTTACCGAAAGAACCAATTAAGATGAATCCTTGCAGTCACGAAAGCTTTAAATCGAAAAATGAGAGAATCGTTCTTAAGCAGAGGAGAGAGAGGAAGTTTTGTTGAGCCCTGGGCTTGTAACAGGGGACACGTGGGGTGGTGGTGGAGGGCAGGGGGGGAGCGGTGTCAGTGGCACGGTGGGCTGGGACAAAGCAGATCAAGGTAACGGGGACAGCAGAGGAGAATGATCAACCTCCCGCTGAGCAGAGGTTGACTGCAGTCACACCGTCATCAGGACGAGATGTCCTGCATCCGTGCGGTCGCCTGCACCTCCTCCCTCCTCCCCGCTCCCCCCGGGGTCACCTGGTATAAGCACAGGGCGCCTACGTGTGCGTTTAAACTGCTGGGGGACACATCGGTGGGTTTTGCGGGATTTAGCACTCTGCTTGGGGTTCACGGACCGTATAACACCAAAGGTGCTAACGGGTTCGCTTTGAGGGCACGCGTTTTGCTCTTGGTTGCAATCCATCAACGTTGATGTGAGTGCCAATCCTATTCAGAGATGGATGGATGTATGAAAAACAATAGGTTTTTACCCTTTTTGGCAATAGCACAGCAGGTGTTAGATGTTCAGACACCAAATATATCAACCTTTTTGCAAGGTATAAAGTCTGCGTTAACCACATGTACTTGTGGTGATCAGGCAAACAAACACGCTCTGATAGTATATGGCACTGTCTTTGAAACTGATTGGCCCACGCCAGTGTCAGCCTTCTCTATGGCCTTGTCTCACCAGTGTCAGACCAGAGAACGCAAACAGGCGAACGGTACAAAAACAATGCAAGTATCAGAGGATTTGTAGCTCGGGTTGGGCAGTTGAGACTGGCACCAAGGTCCCATAGATATAGCCATGTCTGTTGAACTTGTTTAAAACCGTAAGTAGCCAACCGTGCTCATCGGAGGTCCGAGAGATAAATGTGGAAATAGTCTCATAGGTTTATGGCTTTGTTCGGTAAATTCCCACACTATGACCGGGGATTTTCCCGGCTTTGCTGGATAGTGACCCCGGCCACAGGAGTGCATGCTCCCAAGTTTGGTCAGTGCGCCTAATTGAACGATCTGCGTTCCAAGAACTTCTCATAATATCCATTGTCGACGCTCTGCACATCGCAGGCTGCGGCGTTTGTCTAACCCCTTAAGACGTAATGCTGTTGGCATCTGGATCGGTGAAATGCACACGCTCACCCACTTCGGGCATGTGCCCGTTGCTCATTTGTTTATGCCGGCATGCCCAAAGTGCCCATTTTACACCATATGTCAGCAGCATGGGCGGGGCAGCTAATGTTAATCCAATGGATAAATTGGGGAGTGAAATTTGGTGATTAGAGTAATAATAATGTACCGCTGTTTTGTCAGTCCACTGTTGGATGATGGCCTCCCCCCTCCCAGTGTTGGTCAAGGGTGTTGTTTGACCGTACTTTACTATGCTGGTTACTGCTGGTTGATGAAGTGGGGAGGCCCAAGGCACAATTCGTATTTCACTCGCCACTAAACAAAAACTAAACAACATTTTTTTCATCAGGTATTATCATTATATTCTTTGTATCAAACATGTAACATTACTGTGACATTCACGTAGCGTCAAAAGTGGCTGTGAACCCTTAAGGACTCAAATGGGTGTGGCACCCATCGGCATCCTGAGCGAGTGGGTGGACATTCCACATTCCTGCGGCAGAGACCAATCTGTCCAGGAGTAAACACGATCTTCACGATTTCCATGACGGCGTTTCGGCGTTTCGGTGTCGCGGGGCGAAACGCGTTTGTTCATTCGTTGCGCCAGGTTACAACAGCAACGACGTGGTGGTGCCGGTGGTGGTGACGCTGACGATTGTGGTGATCGCAGGCATCGTCCTCTTCGCCCTGGTGTTTGTGTTTCGGAAGAGGTGAGCGAAAACGGGCCGTGCCGTTATTTCTTACGAGCCACGTGAGTGTCGTCGAGCGTGTAACTGTGGCCTACGACTGCCGCACCAAAGACCTGCGCGTGACTGACTGTGGAGAGAGAGCGAGTGCGGGCCGCCGCCCGGGAAAACCAGGTGGTGAGATGTTAACTACCTCACTTGGTATACAGGAGGTCGTGGGTTCGATCCCGGTCCTGCCGGTGTTTGCGTGTTCTCTCTCTCTCTCCCCGTGGTTGTTTGGATTTTTCTCCTCCACATTTAGAATTTGCATTTGGAATCGATGTGCATTTTAGACTATTTGGCTGCCACTATAAATGTCCATGTGATGAGCCACTTTGTTGGGCTATCATTTGTGGCCAGGCCACTTCTGAAAAATAGCTACATATCTAAGAGGACCTTACCCGGTAAAATATATATTTATAAATAACGCGCGAACATGGCCTCTGCGTTTACGCACGCAAACGTACGTTTATGTACTCAAATGTGTTTTTTTTTATGACACAAACAGCCTTATTGCTGTGTGCCTTAATAAAAGCGTCATCTTGGTAGGTGCGCTGGATTGTAGTAGATGCTTTCCAAACAAATGGTGCACGAGGCAGCTGCCTACTGAGTGGCGCACACAGCGCACGCACAGGGTTGTCCCACGTCTGACCACTTCGCCGCATCGGAGGGAATTTAAGCCGCGTATTATCGCGGATTTTGGGTAGATGTAGGTTTTTTTTTACGCATGTACAGCGTGAAATCGCACGCGCGGACCGAACCCGGGTAAAGCGTGCGAAACCTGTACACGACCACCTAGGTTTGTACGGTTGTGGCACTTGGCGCAGCTCTTGGATTTGATTAGAGCCATTGATTTCGCCCTGCAATTGAGGGAGACCGTGTAGCTGTAACTGCTCCTGGGAAAGCTCCGCAAGCTCGTGGAGCGAAACGTCGGACATCGTGCCGAACAACACGCGGTGCAACCCGAAAGCGCGTCAGGAGAGTGTCATGTTAGGTTCAGTTCTTAACTCGAGTGGGTCTTTCAATATTGCACATTGTTGATTTGAAGCCTTCGTGACTGCAGGAATCCATGCTCCTTGGTTCTTTCGGCAAAGTCGTCACGTAGGCACCTGATGACGGTCGCTTGTGTTGCGCCCGAAACGTCGTGATTTATTTTATTTTATACCTACGTGACTTTACCGAAAGAACCAAAGAGTATTGCGCATTGTCTTTGGGGTACTTCTTGCTACTTGCCATTTGTCACTGAATTGTTCTCTGGTGCTCACTTTTTCGCAGGAACAATGCCGATGTTCCCCTCGGCAGACTCTACACGTCCGACAATCCGGAGTATGTCAGCGCCAACGAAAGTAAGTCATCTTCAAAAGATCTGGAATACGTTTTTTTCTTCTTCCGGCACGTGATTTTTTTTGAAGGCGCGGTCGGCAGTTAAGTCAAAAAAGTGCTGTGATTTTTCTTTCGCAAATGAGCATTGAGGGCTAAAAGTCTCTCGGAGAACTGCTGTTTGGACCCGCCCCCTCCCCCCCACAAAGTGGTATTCGTTTTATTAACAACGGAAGGGATAATAATAGGGTTTTTCCCCTTTTTTCTGGCAACACAATACCTGCAGTCATCTGGTCGAGCACCAATTGGGTCGAGGCTCAAAAGAAAGCCGTCCCTTGGTGTGGACCAATCAGTTTCAAGGACAATGCATGTATTATCATAGTATGTTTTTTGTTTGCATTTTGACCGCAGGTATTGTGGTTAATGCCGACATGATTCCTCGTGAAAAGGTTTCAGTTATGTTGCCAGAAAAAAGGGGAAAAACCCTATTATTACATTTTGGTACTGGCAAAGGAGGTCTAATGAAACGGAAGGGATGATCATCCGAGTCAACCGCGAAACGCTGGCAATCTGGCGACACCTGAAACTGCCTCCGATTGATTGACTGCCTTTGCTTGGACACATTTACCCGGCGGGGGAATTTAAAGACACTTGCCTCGTTGTTCCAATTCCAGCGCAATACCGATTGCGCAACAGCTGCTTTTTGGTGAAATTTCTTTATGGCTTCGTATCAAGTTAAAATAACAATGAGGCATTAAGATGAATGAACATTTTGTTGCATTTGCGAACGATAATTTCAAACTGGCCTGTGAGGTAATGTGCACCTCCGTTTAGCACGGTTGCTTGCGTACGGTGCGAAAAAATAAGGTTTACGTACATACAAGGTACAACCTGAATGGAATTAACCAAGTGCTTATAAATGTTCTTTGCCCGAGAGAGCAACTTGTGTCAAAATGGCAACTCCGGTCACTCAGAGTGTGCGCGCGTGGGCTAATGAAATAATTTAGCGGCCTAAAGCCACCTGTGCTGTCCTCGTGTTAGGAGTTGCGACTCGGTGACGGCACCAACGGGGGGGGGGGGGGGGGCCCGCTTTGCCCCCGACCAAAGGTGAACCGAATACGCGAGCGCTGCGTCGTCGGATCGCGCGCTCGTTCCGTGCAAACGCCGCGGCCGATGTTTGCCCCTCGCAACTTTGGGAGCGAAATCGCCGGGGCGTACGAAACACCTGTGGAATACGCGCGCGGTAGAACGGGCAAGCTGCGGCGATAGAACGAAGACGGTTTACCGACGCCCGTCGCTTCGTCGTCGGCTTAAAAGAACGAAGGTGGGTTTAACACGTGTAAGGGGCTTTCGTGACCAATATTATACCATGATAGAGGGTTTTTTTTTTTTTGGGTTAGATCACGTAAATATAAATGCGTCGTTAAACCCGCCGCCACCCGACACAGCCAAGTGAGTAAGGTTTGTCACGTGAACCAAATGAGGCCAATTTGTTGCTGGTTCAGCACACCCGGTGTGTTGGGAGATTAAACCCACAACAACATTTACCATTCGGGTGCCGTGACATTCCGCTGGTAATTTTTCCCAGCCTCATCGGGCGACGGCCCGAGTTGCGGAGAAATCTTCCTCTAGTTTCGGTCTTAAATAGCGCCGGGGGCATAAATGCGATGCCGTCACTTGTGAGCCAATCCGGTGTCGTCAACGCGTGGGGGTTTTTTTCGCAGACAGCGCTATGATCCGCGATTGATTTCCCTGCTCGTTACGCGGCCCCAGCACTGAAATCGATCGCGATTCCTTGCTGCGCAGCCCGTGGCTGCGCGTGCTCCCCCGAGGCTTTTTCACGAATTATATTTTAAGTTGCCTGGTGTTTTTAGCCGAACGTTTTGGTTTGATATTTAAGAGCCATTTTGGGGAAAAAAGTGAACTGGTGTTGCTCAACTTAATTGCAACTCTTTTTTTTTCTCCTTTTGATTGCTCGGGAATTCCAAAGTGACGGTTATTAATAATTTTTTTGAAATGGTTATCTTAGCCATTCCATCTGAAGTCACTCGGAAAACAAACTTTTGGTCTGAGAGGGCTCTCAGCTGGATGTAATTACACGCCATCTGCCCTTAGTTCATTCATGAGAATAGTAAATGACAAAAATCAACGAATTGGCCTTATTAATGCCAGTTAGTGGCAGCTGCGTGGGCTTAGTTCGTCAAATATGTCCCCTTTATTCCCCCCCGATCTGGAAGGGCCATTTGCTCTCGCGTCTCTCCAGACGAGCCATTGTGGGACGCTCTGTCCGCATCAAGCCCTGCATTTTTCTCTCCTGAACCTCCCCCCCCCCGAGCACCCCGGGATGAAGTGGAGCCGAGTCTCGCGGTGCCGTGAGCGTCGCCGAGCAAAACAAAACTCCGAATATACAGCAGACTTGAGGGCTGGGATTGAACCCGCAACTGTATACTATGCGAGCCAGTTAACTTCTCGCCACTGCGGTGCCCTCTTCACGCGAGCTGCGAGTGCTTCTTCACGTTACTCGCTTTGGCGGATCGAGCGAGGCTGCTAGAACGTGAGAGAGGAGACAGTGGTGATGGTGGCGAGGGGAGTAAGGTTCGGAGTCGAGCGATCCGACGGGGAATTAGCGGAGAGCGAGTTGAGTTGTGTGACCTGCGGGGAGTGGCAGCGGTTGAACGCAGCGTGGTGGATGAGACGAAACGGCCGGTCTCCTCGACCCAGTCTCCAACTCGAGTGGAGGAATCGGTTGATGATGGGAACGGTAGCCACGATAGTAGCGATGGAACAGTGATAAGGAAGCGATTGACCGCCGCTTGATTGAATGGCTCAGTGCTGGATCATTAATGGACCCGAATGCTTTACGTTGAATTCTGTCCCAAGTACAGAGAAGGAGGAGTCTGTGCGCTGCTTAACATATATGACATCAATGCGATATGGTTGTGCCATTAGCTCAAACGGATCCCCGGGTCCCTCGCGAGTTGACGTGCTCTGGAGTGCTAACCCCCCCCCACCCCGTTTCCCCCTTCCCTCTTTTCCCAGTGTACGTTCCGGACGAGTGGGAGGTCCTGCGGGACAAGATCGTGCTGCTGCGGGAGCTGGGCCAGGGCTCGTTTGGGATGGTCTACGAGGGGCTGGCACGCGGCATCGTGCCCGACGAGGTGGAGACACGCGTCGCCGTCAAGACCGTCAACGACGGCGCCTCCATGCGGGAGTGCATCGAGTTCCTCAACGAGGCGTCCGTCATGAAGTCCTTCAGCTGCCACCACGTGGTGAGCGAGAGATCGAGTGAGAGAGCGAGTGAGAGAGTGCGAGAGAAAGTGTGAGAGAGTGTGAGAGAGAGTGTGAGAGAGAGAGCGAGCGAATGAATGAGAACCCAGTGTCATTAGACTTCCTTGTAAACAGTAAACAGGCAACGGTGGGGTGAACATTGGCGCGTGGATCGAGCCGTTGATGGCCCCCAGCGATGGTTCCCCAACGTCCCATGTTCGGGTGCCACGGTGGTGAGATGTTAACTACCTCGCTTGGTATCCAGGCGGTTGTGGGTTTGATCCCGACTATGACGCCTGCTGTATGGTTGGAGTTTGCACGTTCTATCTTCCCGTGGTCACGTCAATTTTTCTCCGGGTGCTCTGGTTTTTTCCTGCACCTTTAGAATCATGCGTTTTTAGTTTTTGGCTGTTATAAATTTCCACATGAGCCAGTTCGTTGAGCAATTAATGTGTCACCAGGTCACCTCTGAAAAAGAGCTATATGGCAGAGTGGCCCTTACCTTGGGCCTGCTTAGTATCGGTGCTAAATGAGATAACCGCCACTCACTTGGAGCGCGACGGCCTCGTGCGTGGTGGGCGCCCTCGCGCTTTCGCTCGGCGCCTGGCTCCGGGGGAACCGCGCGCGGTGGCGGCGAATGGAACGGCCACCAACGACGGACCGCGACGGGTGACGGCGCCGCCTCTCTCCCGTCGCTTCGCAGGTGCGGTTGCTCGGCGTGGTGTCGTTGGCGCAGCCCACTCTCGTTGTCATGGAGCTCATGACCAACGGTGACCTCAAGAGCTACCTCCGCTCGCTGCGACCGGACGCCGAGGTCAGTGCCGGCAGGGGTTGCCGTACGATTGATTCCGGTCGCGAAATCGGCCGTGGAAATGTTCGTCGATGAAGGGCTTGCTTTTTTTTTGCTTTACTTTCGAGCGAGTGAATGTCGTCGTGCGTGACGACGGACTACGAACTGCCGCCACCTGGATTTCCCAGGTGGCGAGATGTTAACTCCCTCGCCTGGTATACAGGAGGTCGTGGGTTCAATCCCAACCATTTATATATTTGAAATTTGCATGTTCTACCTGTGGTTGTGTGGATTTTTCTCTCCGTCCTCTGGTTTTTTCTCCGCATTTTGTAATCGACGTGCGTTTAGAGTGTTTGGCCGCTACAAATTTCCACGTCGCAAGCCACTTAGTTGAACTATCGTTTGTGGCCCGGATCTTGTCTGGAAAAGAGCTGTATATCTCAGTGGGCCTTACCTGGTAAAATACAAAATGGTTTATCGTTCAGTTTTAGTTTTGTGCTATGAAGACGGGCCGTTGCCCGAAACGTCGCCGATTGATTGGGCAGCGATGAAAGGCCATTGCCCGATCGGTGACGTTTCAGGCAGTGAGGTACGGAGCAAGGACCTCACTGCCTGAAACGTCGCCTGTCCCCGCAATGTCTCCTCTCCAGGGCAAGGCAGCGGGTTCTCGACCAAAGCGTGTTGCGTTTTTGCGAGCGGGACAGCAGAGGGCGGCGCCGTACCTCGTCAGTTTCGTTGCTGCTTCCATTGCCGTCCAAAGCTCGTCAAATTTAAGCAGGCGCATTTGTCACGTCTCCTCCACGGCGGTGCTTTGGCCCATTTTATCACCAAAATATAATTTGGCGCGGCCGTGTTAGCCCCCTTTCCTGGCAGCGCGGTATGGATCAAGAGCGATGATCTGTCAAAAACGTCTCGCCGTTTGCGTTTCATTTCTGTTATTGGATTTCGCAAGGCAATTTTTGGTTTGACGTCGTTATATTTTAGCTACGAAGTGTAGGGTGCCGTGTGCCTCACAGCCCGTCGATGCCCTATTATTGGCTCGTCTGGGAAAAATAAAGGTGGACGAAATAAACAAGTTAAATTAAACATAAAAAAATCCACGTACTAAATGGGATGATCAATGTTGGATTACACAAATACATTTCTTGAAAGGTGGAAAGGCTTTTTGGCAATGAAGCATTTCACATCTGTCTGCTACCACAACGCCATCATCATCATCCTTTTTTTGTCATAAGATTCGTCAAAGAAGAACATAACTTTTCAACCTGGATGTCATTACTCAATTTCACCATCCCACGCCACGGGGGGGGGGTATGGGGGGGGGCATGGGGGGGGTGGGGAGGTTCGTGTGAGTCAGCAACGCTGGCCACGATTCTGAGTTTGGTCTTGTTTACGTTGAATAGATTTTGGGTAATAATGGATTTTTTTTTATAATCATGAGTGTTGTGTCCGTAGAAAATTTTCATTTTTACGTCCTCGCGATATGTCTGACAAGCGCCTTTGGATGGTTTATTGATGTACTTTTAACTTGTTTCCAGTGTATCACTACTGGGTATCCTTTTGTTCGTTTTTATACGTGCAACTTTCCGTCTCGTCGAAACGAAATGAAACGAAAGCAAAGCAGCAAAAGTTGGCACGTGGGGGCTTCCCGGCACGTGGAACATCTCCAAACGTCGGACATCGCGAAACACTGTGCCCAACAATAAGCGGAGGGCACGAACGCAAAACAACACCCACGGAGGGGCGCCTCGCTGAACCCGCTCGCGTGAATAGCGCCCCCTTCAAAACGTCGACTGCCAGCTTTTCTTACTTCGCGTGGCGGCGAACCCGCCTCTTGGTACCTTCGCAGAATAACCCAAAGCGCCCGGCGCCGACGCTGAAGGAGATGGTGCAGATGGCGGGAGAGATCGCCGATGGCATGGCCTACCTCAACGCCAAGAAGTTCGTGCACCGCGACCTCGCTGCTCGCAACTGTATGGTGGCCCACGACTTCACCGTCAAGATCGGAGGTTCGGCCTCCTCGCTCTCCACCTCACCGTGCGCGTTATGCGCACGCACGCTCACTCGCTCGCTCACCCGCGCGCCCGGCAATGTGTCCGTGCGTGTGCCCATACACGTGCGTGCGGTAGTGCAGCGGTTAGCGCCGCCCGCTACGAACCCAGCGACCCGAGTTTCGATTCCCGCTCACACGGCCACCAACACCAGTGACGATTATCTGAACCGGTCCTGGGCCTCCCCTAGGTCGACTCGGCCTTTTCATTTGCCCCCACACGAGACGCGCACGCTCCCTCGCGCTCCGGGCTACGTGCGTGCGCGTGCATGGATGCGGGGAGCGGTAGCGCAACGGTTAGCATGCGGCGGGTGGAGGGGCGGGGTGGGAGTGCCACCGTGTGCGTGTGTCTGCGAGAACACGGTGGATAACTTCCCCTCCTGCGTTGCAGACTTTGGGATGACGCGCGATATCTACGAGACGGATTACTATCGCAAGGGTGGCAAGGGTCTGCTGCCCGTGCGCTGGATGTCGCCCGAGTCGCTGCGCGACGGCGTGTTCACGACCTACTCCGATGTCTGGTGAGACAACAACAACAACAACAATACCCCCCCCCCTCCGCCTCAAATCACTGCACCTGAAATGAGTTAAATGATGACGTCACCCTGCTGCTGCTCTGTTTAAGACCGGGAGCAAGCGAGGGCTTTACCATTCTGGCGAATTGCCCGATGATGCTGGATGTAATTACCGGCGAAACGTCGTACTCAAACTGTAAATGTTGTGGATTCACTCTTCGGCACACCGGTGGGCTAAAGTAGTGAATTATTTGTCTTGTCAACGTGAGACTTTTTTGCTGATTGGCCGTGTCGGGTGGTGGAGGGTTACGACACATTTATAAATAACGCGATCTAACCCAAAAACCTTTATTATGAACAACAACAATAACAACAACAACAGCGATCATCGTTTGCAATAAGGAGAGGAGAATTTCCGTCAGTTCTGTCGCTAAAGTAATGTTGCTCCCGGGTGCACCGGTGCGGTGTGGCAATGCTGTACGTGCATGCGTGTGTGCCGAGATGTTGTCTCCCTCACGAGGTACGCGGAAGGCCGTGGGTTCGATCCCGACCCTGACGCCTGCTGCATATTTGGATTTTGCGTGTCTCTCTCCCCGTGGTCCTGTGGATTTTTCTGTGGGTCCTCCGGTTTTGCCTTCTACATTTAGAGTCGATGTGCGTTCAGAGTGTTTTGACTGCTCTACATTTTCACGTGATGAGCCACTTTATTGAGCTATCATTTGCGGCCAGGTCGCTTCCGAAAAAGAGCTCCTATATAGCTCAGTGAGCCTCACCTGGTAAGAAATAGTTTACTTTCGTTTGTGTTGCGTCTGCACGTGTGTGTCGTTTACGTTTTCATGTGTGTACACACATGTGCGGGTGTTGTGGGGAGCGGCGAGTATAGCGGTTGGCACGCTGCGCGACCTAGTGCAGTGCCGGCCTTCATAGGTGCTCGCTAAGAGCACTCGTCCCCAACAGTCTTTGCACTTGTATCCTTTTCGTTAGCGCCTGCGGATGCAGACGTTTGCACACGTACGCGCGCACTTGCGTGCCAGTGAGCCCTTCCGCACTTGCGCACGGCCTCAACGCACCTAGCCTGCCACGGGCGCCACGGTCACGGGGCCGCCACTCATTGGCGAATCGCACTTACTGTACGCGTGCGTGCGTGCGTGCGTGCTCATGCGCCTCGGTGCCTTGCAGGTCGTTCGGGGTCGTGCTCTGGGAGATCGCCACGCTGGCCGAGCAGCCCTACCAGGGCATGTCCAACGAGCAGGTGCTCAAGTTTGTGATGGACGGCGGCCTGCTGGAGAGGCCCGACAATTGTCTCGACAAGCTGTGAGTCTTGCGCCCCTTTCGCTCTCCGCGCGGAGTTGTTGCGCGCGTCGCGAGCAGCAGGGGGCAGTGCGGCAAAGCGCGTTGCTGGCCTGTTGGCCCGCGCTCGCAATAGGCGCTTCGTTTGCAGCGTTAGCCCCGACACTCTACGCGGCTCTGCAGGGGATCACTGTGGTCGTGCGTGTGTCGAAACAAGCACTGGCCATTGATCACACGCGATTATTGAATGTGGAAGAAGGCAAATGGTCTTTACCCATTGTGTGTGCGTTTGCGTTATTGCTGTAGGTGGGGAGGCGAGCGGTGTGGTGGTTAGCGCGTGCTGCGCTACGAACCCGGCGACCAGAGTTCAAATCCCGATGGTGACCAGCACCCTGTGGCGATTGTCTGAACCGGTCCCTGGCCTCCCCAAGGTCCAACACAGCCTCAAATGAGTACCTGGTGCGGTGTTTAAAATCACCGCTAGGGAGACGAAGGCGGCTAGGCGTAGTGCTGGCCATCAACCCCCTCGTGTGCCGTGGTGGCTTTAACCGGTGCTCGCTAACAGCACTTTCCCCAAACGTTTGTTAAGGCTACACGGTGGGGGGGGGGGGGGGGGGGGGTATGTGTTGAAACACATTCGACCGCCGTCCGTGCCCCCCCCCCCCCGCCCCCCGCCTCCTTTCGCACCGACCGCAGGTACGAGCTGATGCGGCTGTGCTGGCAGTACAACCCGCGCATGCGTCCCACCTTCCTGGAGATCATCGGCTCGATGAAGGACGACCTCCGGCCCTCCTTCCACGACCTCTCCTTCTACTACAGCGACGAGAATCGCGTGGGCTGCGGCCCGAGCGCGGAGCCCGACGAGTGGCCGTGCTCCGACGGCGACCCCGAGAGCGTGCCGCTCACGCCGGCCGTCTCCTTCCACTCGGTGCGCGAGTTTGCGCGCGACAACGGCGGCGGCGGCGACGGCGGGGCGCCGCCCAACAGGTGCAGGCCGGCGCAGGCCGAGCCGCCGAGGGGCGACCCCGGCCGGGCCTCCGCCACCGGCGGGGGGCCCTCGGCGTCGTCGCCCGGCGACGCTCGCGAGGAGCGGCCGCTGGTTTTCTGCGCCGCCGCCGACGACGCCGACGACGACGACGAAGGTGTAGAGAGAGACCGGCACCTGCCGCAGTCGTCGTGCTGAACGGTGGACACGTGCGAGGGCGTGAGGGGGCTACGGACGCCGCCGCCCGCGAACACAATACGAAAAAAAAAACATTAAAGGACGTTGACGGGGCCGCCACGAACCGCCGCACCACCGCCACCACCAAGGCGAAGCAAAAATGAGACAGTTGAATATTAATAATAATAATAACGGAGGCACTTTAATCATGCAAAACTACGACACACGCCGAAGCTGAATGTTGGTGGGCGTTGGCTGTGAAGGCAGTTTAAAAATAAAAAGGAACTCGCGCAATGCAAAACACTACAGGAGGGGGAGGTGGTGGTGCTGCGTGCCGCGCTCGGTTGTTGAGCCAGTGGGGAGGGCCTCGGCGGGAGCGTTGGGCAGCCTCAGACGGACTACAAATAAATTAACGACTGCGTGCAAGAATTACTTTTTTTTTCCCTTCCCGGTGAAGCCGTTTACAACACTATTACAGTGAAACTTTGCAAGCTAAAAAAAAAGGTTGCTTGGACAGAAAAATATTTCCATGATTACGACCCAACTTTTTGGTGGTGGGGTGGGGAGAGGGGTTGGGTGGGGTGGGGGGGGTGGGTGTCCGAGAATTGTACTAGGGGAGCTTGAGACCAATGTTTGAACGACGATGCTTGAGACGGTGAGAAATCCGCGTTTGGCTTTTGAGATTGCCTGGAAAATTGTACCGCGGATGGATGGAATCGTGTGGAAGAGGGAGACACAAAGGGAGAGGAAGTGGGGCTTGGGCGGAGCGGCGGAGCAACCCAAATCAAAGAGAAGTGGACCGCGTTCAGTGTGAGAGGGGCCGGGTTTTTAAGATGGCTGAGAGGTTTCTTTTTTGTTGTTGCTCCCCCCCCCACCTCACCTCACTCCGTCCTTCGTTTAAACCACAGAAGCTTCCAAACGCAGAAAAAACTAACTTGTCGAGGTAGGAGAGACACCCTCGGAAGCTGGACTGCCCTCAAAACAAAACGACATGAAGAGACACCTTTAGGATGGCCTAACCACGGGGAAACGTAAGCAATGAAGGAATTTCGCAAGTCGGTTCGCAGTTTTTTTTTGCCAAGGGGTCTTGGGGGGGTGGGTGGGGGGGAGGGTTCAATCGTTATTTTTGTTGTTGTCGAGGAATACAAAACTGTTTTGGGCTGAAACCTGCACCGCCCGCTGCTGTCTTTGTGAGCGTGCGAGGGAGGGAGGGAGGGTGCCCTCGGTTAAAAACAAATTTTTGGCGCACTCCATGGCCTCTGTTGCTCCAAAGTCAGTTGTTTCTGGAAATGTGTGCGCGTGCGCATTATTGTGTGGCTAAAATAAAACCTAGGTGAATGTGCAGCTGTTGATATATTTTTGTCAGCTGACTAATAACAGTATATAGCTCTTTTGTTTTCAGAATTTTTTTTTACTTTTTTATGCAAACCAGTAAAAAGAAAATTGTACAGGATTTTTGTACCGACCTCCACCTCCCCCGACTCAAAATAATTTAAAAATATATATAAAAAATCCCATCATGGAGCAATATAACTCATCAGGTTTCGTAGATGGCAAGAGTTTAATGATATTTTTTGAAGTGTAGATTGGCAGGAGCGGGACCGACTCGACGCTTCTGCTCGCTGAAAAGGATAAAAAAAAATTACATTTTGGATGGAAATTTGCGTGAAAAGAAGAGAGAGAGATAGAAATTCACGTGGTGGAGTTGATCCAAGTTGAGACGGGTGTCAAGGTGACTTGTTACGTGGGTGTTGTATAATAATGTAATGTTTTGTTCAGCTGCTGCTGTTTTTAATCTCCCGGTTTCTTATGGCGTTGCAATGTTTTCTCACCAAAAAAATACCACACACAAACACTATTACCATGAGCATATCCGAGCGTTCGATGACGTGCAGGAGGACCCACGGGTTTGTTTTGTTCGCGAACAAATTTACACATCGGCTGACCGCACCGCAACGCAGCTCAAATCGGCGCCCGGGTTTCAAAATTGCACCGACGAGAACTTTAACGACTGTACGAGAACATTTTCTCAACTTTCTAACTTAGGGGGGAGCGGGGGGGGGTAGCCGATAAGGTTGATCCTCAATTCGATGCACACTAAGAGAGAGAATGCTTTGCTTGCCTGGGGGGGGGGGGGGGGGGGGGGGGTGGGGGGCACAGTAGCCCCAGCCAAATCGATCTTTGCACGGCCCCTGTTTTCCCGTCAAAGTGGGGGGGGGGCTGCATTGTTACTTGTTTTGTAACTTGCGAAGAGCACGCCTTGCAACCACCTTAAATCACGCCCCCGTGCACGTAATCGATAACATCAATAGCGCGTTAGCGTCCCCAGCAAAACGTCCCGCGCAATTTTAAGAACTCATTGGCAAAACAGCAGGTGGCTTTTGCTTCGATAATACACGCGGAAGGCCCAGCGCTTTAAATTCCCATAACGGGATCCTACTCTCGAGTAATTATTGAAATACGGTTTGTTATCATCTCTCGCCCCCTCGTGGTAAATTGGGCCCAAAGTTAAGCCGTGCTCGCAAAGAGAAATGCGTTTATAAATTCTCGCGAGCCAGGAGCCCGAGTACCCAACATAATACTCGTAATATGTTGCGTCCGTAACTTGCTTAGAAAAGTAACATCGAATGTCTTTTGCGAGATCGCAACTCCTCCCGTTGGATTGAGCGCCGTTGCTAGGGGTGACATCATCAACGCCCACTTCAGCAGCCAATCGGCTGCCAGGAAAGCAACCCCATGCAACGTGGTCACTGTGACATCATCGCCGACGTGCGCTTCAGTGTGTCTGGCTGAAGAAAGTATGTTTCTGTCGATTATTTTCGTTACTACTGTCATTTGTCATTAATTACGTTATACTATTATCAGTTGGCTTTGACAATCGACTTACGAGTTATCCCCATCACACGTAATTCCTCTCCTAAATTAAGAGCAATTGAAAATTTTTCAAAATCCCTTAGCGAATCGGAGTTGGACCAATTCAGACCTCGGGCAATTTTTAATATTTGCGCAGATCGTTGGGTACTCGGCGCCCAGACCGTCCACGTGCTTCGTCTCCTAACGAGGCGTAATGTCATACTTCACCTCTCTGGTATGGGCCGCCACGTTTTCAAGGCACTACAATGCAGTGGGCCCCGTCCTCGCTCGCTCGCCGACTAGCGCTCCGCTCACGAGCGGCGTGTACTCCGCGCGCTCGCAATTTCGCGCGCCGTGCCCACGCGGCATATCCGGTCGTACACCGCCGTGTATGCACGTACACGCCGTGCGCGTTTACGTACACGGCGTGTACGTTGTTGTGACTACGCCGCACGTACACCGGCGCACTCGGGATCCACCTGCTCCCCTTGCTGTCGCTGCCAAGTCCAATCGTACCGGCGAACGAACGCACGCACGCGTGCTTTCGCGCAGGGGCCCACATGCGCGTGTGCGATGGTGGCAATTCATGTCGCTATCAATTCGCCGATACACGTTTTGGGGCGGCGGCGGCGGCGGCGGCAGGGAGGTGACCCAAAATGTGACGGGTGCGTTGTAGGGGGGGGTGGGTGGGGAGAAAATAGGTTGCCATCAAACAAAGCAAGCAAAGCATCTGCGCAGTGGTTCCCTTTCACAATTGTTGTTTTGTGCGGCGTACAAGTCGAAGGCTCTCGAGGGCCGTCCTGAATCCCAAATATACTCTCACTTACACAAACACACACGCACGCACAATACTCTCGTTCCTGATTTGATGTTCTTTTACAAAACCAGCGGGTCATTGTTAAATTGCATAAATTATTACCTTGCTTGCTAAACCGCTTCGCTAGTTATATTCGCTTTAAAGGTTATTGCGTCTATATATTTTTTTCCCTTCCTCTATGATATATTTCCTCTCTGGTAATATTGTGAAGGTATAATTATTATATCTTATTTATTTGGTAATAATTGTAGATCACTGTAAAAGGCTGTCGACGTAGTCTGGAATCTTTTTTACACTTGGATAGAAAACATTTTCACAGGAGGGGAGTTTTTTTTATCGTTTACACAAAGCACGCATAAAAGTGGTGCGTTCCATGGTCTCTTCAGAAGAAAAAAGAAAGAATCTACCTCAAAAAACCATTGGTTACTTTTTTTTGTTATTAGTTTTTTTTCATTCTTATCGTCGTTATTCGTATCTTTAATGAACGTCCTCGTCGTCGTCGTCGTCACAATTATTGTTATCATCGCGCAGACGTGTGGTTTTTTTGTGTAGGATTTAATTTTATTTTCCATAGCGGTGGCTTGTCCACGTGGTTTACCTCATACACGGGAGGGGGCCGGCCGAGACTTCCCGTTGTCGTCCTGCGCGCGCGATGGGGGATTCATCGGGGCTCGGCAAGGTAGTGGGGGAGGGGGGTGGCAGCCCAGGCCATCTCTCCATGCAAGTGCGTTCGCCCCTCCCGCTGGCGAAATAATTTCTCCGTGCGGCAGATTCGGCCACACTCGATGCAACGCTGCTGAGCTCGGTGACGACAACAACAATAATAATAATAAGTAGAGTAATAGGGCCCACGAAGCGTGTCGGCAAATACAGTTATATAACATTGACCTCTTGACTCTCCTGCAATGTAATGCAGATGTGGGCGAGGTTGTTGGCGAGGTGGGTGGGTGGGGGGGTGGTAAAAGCAGGAAATTTGCAGTGTACAGAAGGCGTGCGAAAAAAATACCCCCATCAGCGTTTAGGGAAATTTTGTCCCGTTTTTAGGTTCCCCCCCCCACCCCCCCCCCCCCCCCCCCCCCCCCCCCGATCGCTCTTTGACAAGTCTGTTCTTTGTCCCCCGTAGGTCGCGTGTGTGTGTGTGTACGCATATGCATTTACACTCCTGTGCCTACACGTGCAATGTGCGCAGTTTCACAATACCGCGTGATCGTTTTGAGAGTGGCCATCGAATACAAGCCCCTGCTGCTTGAACCCACGGCAATGCCGTTTTGGAAGGTGAACCGTCGTGGATTAAATCATTGGTGTGCAGACCCTGGCTACATTTCCGTCGGTCATTTCGCTTGAATCATTCGGCTGTCTTAATGCAAAACGAATTCCCGTCAAAGTGTGTGGGGGGGGGGGGGGGGGGGGGGGGCTGCCTTGTTACTTGTTTTGTAACTTGCGAATCGTTATAGGTGGGATATATTTAGCAGCCAACCCAAGATGTTTTGTGGCGACAACGCCACGGATATCCACTGCTATCCAGCCGGGGAAGACGCCAGTTTTGTTTTCACACAGTTCCAACGTGTCTGTGTGTGTGTGTGCACCAGGTGGGGGTGGGGTAGGGAGGATGGTCTGGTCTGTGTGTATCTCGTTCGCGTTACGTTCATTTTGTGTCTCGGCAGCAATATTTTTCGCGACGCTTATGCACAGTGGCACCGTGTAATGAACGCAAGGCCGTTGCAGATGTGCGCGGATCAGACGGGGCGGCTCGGAGCTATTTGCAATTATCGTAAAGGACGTGCAAGTGAAGCTGTTTTTAAACGAACCATTTGCCGTCCGATCGTCTCAAAAGAATCGTTTTCCTGCTGGTCATTCGCGTTGGCAAATATCGGCTACATCCTGAGACGCAGCACCTCCGGG